CGGGGGCTGCTGGGAAGGGCTTCCCCGGGGGTCGCTTTGCGGTGCGCTCTTGGGCGAGACCACAAAAGCAAGTCAGCATTGCCAAACGCACCCTCACCCTCGTCACCCGCCCCGCTTGTGTTAACAAGCCCAGGCGTTTTCCAAACGTGCGTTTCCAAAGGAGCTAGTCAGTCTCACCCAGATTTCAAAGTGGTTATATAGGGTGACAGAAATCTTATTTTCTTCACCTAAATGCCACTAATGGTATTTAGCTCATGAAGATAAGTGTGCTTTTCTGTTTATCCCTTGTCTAGCAAAGAGGATTTGGTATCTTAACCACAGGGGCCTGGAGCACTAGACTTCTCGCAGGGTTTCAGTCCTCTACACCCCACCTTTAGCAACAGAGTGCAGCTGGTCTTCTAGAGTCAAGGGTTGTTCCAGATCTGTTACCGCTTAGGGAGGATCACAGTTTTTTGAGTAGTTCTCTGAAACCACGAGCTCAGTGCTTAGCTACAGGAAAAGGATGCGAGAAAGATAGGACACACCTTTACGCTTGTGCTGCTTCTGCTTCTTGAGCGCTGTGTGAGGTTCAGGTACTTCTCTCCATCCCAAAGAGGGAGAGGGGTCTGCCGAGCTGGAGAATAACGCAGGGAAAGACAGTCGGCGTGAGCAGAGGAATGGTTGGATGAGGACTTTTCACCCTGGAAGAGAAGTGTCGCCCCTGACTGAGGGGAGAGATGAGAGAAGTCTGTAAAAGCATGACTGGCTTGAAGATGACAAATGAGAAACAGGAGTGTTAAGTAAGGGTAGCGATAGTTATAAACTGCAAAATTAATTACCATCTACTGGATGCTGAAAGATTACATGAGTTTAGAAGGCAAATGAAGGAGAACTCTGTTGAGGCTCATTAGGTGCAGGAAACACCGCTTCTGCTTCCAAAGTCTTTGAAGATGCTTTCCAGCTTCTGCTGTTCCCTGGACATCTGTTGTTGACCGTCGTCAGAGCAGGATGAGGTGGACCTTTAGTCTATCTCAGTACAGCTTTGTATATTCTCCTTTTTCCATGGGAGGTAGTTTCTTTTGCCATAGAAAAATGCAGGTGGCAGAAATTTAAATAGTCTTAGAAAGCTGTAAGTCTTTTGAACACAGATCTTCACTCAGTAAGCCGTGTGTTCTGGGCGAGCCTGCCTGAAGAGTGTCAGTTACTGTGAGCTTGCTGTATTATCCTGTTTCCCACTAGCCACTATTGGACATAAGGCACAGAACTAACTAGGTTAATTTTTGGATTGATGCAGTACAGCAGTCCTTACTGAGTGCTGCAATATTTCTGGGCAGGCCTGGTTTTTGGTCACAGACTCTTGGAAACAGATCAGGCAGAGCTACATCTGAGCCCAGCCTGCGCTGGGGTCCTTGTTTAGTGTGTAAAAATGCTCACTGATGTGGTTCGGTGGAGGCTTCCCATTGTTTCAGTCATCTCAGAGAAAGCAAATGCCTCTTCTGGTTTGAGTTGGTGTCAGCCATAATTTATACAGTGCTATAGGGTTTAAGTAACACTTTCTGCTCATGTTTTTGAGTTTAAATCCATATGATTTAAAGATGTGATGATGGTGAGTTTTGTTAATAAGGAATTTTAGAAAAATCTGTTTAAAAGTATAAATAAGAAGAATAGTCTGGCTCTGTCCTCTTCAACAAAGCAGCTTCCAGTAATTTTTCTTAACAAATTGTTTTTTGCACTGTGCTTTAAATGTAATATTAGTTATATTCAAGACTGAGCATTTGAATAGCAGCCCAATGTGTCTGTTTCACACTCCACTAATGTGAATTAATTTTGGAGGCAGTGGTGCTTATTGGTATCTGCAAAGTTTGAATTGTCTCAAGAGACAGAGACACCACAGGTAACTCCTTTCTTCTGCACCACCTTTATGAATTAAATGCTACAGCTGTCTGTTCTACAGGGGATTTTAAGAGTTGTTCCCTCTTATTCTTGGGTACTACATATAAAATATTCTACAAATATTTCTTTGCCTTCTTGAATTCTCATCTTTCTCATTTTGTCATTTGAAAGTTGAGGATCTTTAGCTGGTAAGTGTCACAGGTTTTGTTGGGGTTTTTTTTGAGAAACGGTGTTTGCTATTAGTAACTGTCCATATTATGCCTGTTTTCTGGAGCAAGTAAGAGCTTTGTAGCTATGTCAACGTGTTGTCAGTACTTGAAGAAAGCTATTGCCTGATTATTCCATTTTTCTTTGTCTTTCTCAGTTCTGTGCCAATGACCCTGAAGTGTTTGTCCAAGCAGCACTGTTGGCTCAGGATTATTGCGATGCCATAGACCTAAATTTGGGTTGCCCCCAAATGATTGCAAAAAGAGGTATGTGCAAATCTGAACCCGGGCTAATCAGAGGAGTGGCATGTTTCAAATGTCAACGTTGGCAGTAAAACATCAAGAGGACCAAATTAAGCCTTGGTTTGTGGCGGGGTGGCTGCAGTACTGCTGAAGTCAGACTTGGTTACACCCACTTTAACAGAAATGCTTTGTAGTACCTAAAGCAAAAATCAGATATACTAATAATTAATTCCAACTTCTCTTGAATGGCACCTATTGTGTCTAGAATATCCTTTAGAAAAAGTATTTTTAGCAAGAGCTTGATTTTCTTTCTGATTTCAGTTGCTCAGACAGCGTGATTTTGCAAAACTGCATTTTAAAATTACATCATGCGGTCACTTAGCGTCTCCTATTTCCTTGATACTTGCATTGAGTATATTCACATTAGTGTATGAGAGGCTAAAACCTGCTGAATCCCTTAAAGATATTGCAGAGATAGCTGGGTTTGAAAAGCAGAACCAGTGTTTGAAAATTTTGGAACAGTTCGGATGTTGAGGAAATATTTGTGCAGTAACTGCCCATTCCTCTTCTAAAATGTCTTTCAAAGGCTAATAGGAGATAATCAGTGATGTACAGGGCAAATAGGTCTTTCAATCTGATCAGGTTTTATGCTGAAGGGAGTTTTTAAATGCATGGTATAAACCCCTGAAAGTTGGACTTGGAGCTGCTGGTGTCAACACACCAGCCTTAGAGGATAGCAGTGAAAGCAGGGTGTGGGGATTCATGGTTTATCCTGTAAATCTAGGGTGGCATGGGGAACAAAATGATCCAACTCTTCCTGTTTGGGCAGGACAGAGCAACTCTGTTTCTGCCAGTGAGGCATATGAGTGCCTGGATCTTTGTATGTGAAGTTTTATGAAAGCTGCATACTTCAGAGCCTGACTCTTCTGTACAAGTCTGTTAGATGCTATTTTATTATAGGTCACTACGGAGCATTTCTGCAAGAGGAGTGGGATCTTCTTCAGAGAATGAGTAAGTCTTTAGAGAGGCCTCACTTGAGAGAGGCTTCATTTTGAGAGGGAATGGGATGAACTCGTCGTTGAGAGGAGGTTTAGGGATTTTTGTGGCAAGGAGGTGCAGCATGTTTCTTCAGGGAGGGTCGAGTTTGTTTTTTTTTCTTTCTTTCTTTCTTAGTGTATTCCAGTGGCACCCTCAAGATACTTGGTGGTATCCTACTACAAACTCATGCTAGATCTGCTAAAAGTCTTCAGTACCTGAAAAGGACTTTAGATGAAAATGAGTCAATTAAGTCCCAATCTAATGATGGCTTAGTGGCTCTCCAACTCTAGAAACAGCATAACTCCCAGTGCCTTACTTTTTTGCTTTGAAGTTCTCGGGTGCCAGGAGTTGTGTTTCTGCTTGAAGCCACACGTGCTCCTTTCTGATCAGCTCAGTGTACTCTTTCTGTCCACACAATAGCAAGTTATGCCTCTCTTCTCCAAATATTTGTAGGACTATCAGTAGCAGTTGTGAACAGTACCGTATTTTTTTTAAGAACTACTTCGGAACTGATTTAAAAAGCAAGGTTTTGGTCATTGTGTAGAGAATGTGCCTTCACCACACTTCAGAGCAAGTGTCTGAACCATGAAGTTAGAGAGTCTGACTTCTGTTTGCTTTCCCTGTGCTCCAGGGAATCTTCAATGATGTTTGGCACAAAGACACTGCTGAGAGGCTGGAAAGATAAACAGTGCTTCCCTGCCCTGCCCTGTGATGTGGTTATTAGGGCGCTTTTCTTAGGAGTGAAAGATGCAAATCAGAACAGATTCAAGGTGAGACGAGAACCCAGGTCATCTAGTTGGGTGAGAACCCAGGCTGTCCAGGAAGAGAGTTGTCTTATTAGGCTATTGTGTAAAAGGTGGGCAAAGCTTCCTTTTCCTCCTTCTTCCCCAGCTGCCTTTAAAATGATGGCGTGTTATTTTCTGCTTGCACCCGTATACACCTTGTTGGCTCCTTTGAAAGGGTGATTGATAGGAAGTACCTAGCATTAGAGCTTCTAGGATTTGGATTAGAAGAAAGCAGGTAACTTCCTACATTATACATCCAAGCTCTGGAAGAGAAGAGAATTTCAGGCATGCCATTGCTCAGTGTGTTTCTGTTGGCTGTCTTTGTTAGCTCTCTTTTTAGCAGTTTTCCAATTCTGTCCACTGTGTAAAGACTATGGGAGTTTAACATGTTGCTCTGGATTTCACCCTGGCTCCGTAACCTACATTTACTACTTAACTGGGTCCACAGCCTACCTCAGCTGATAAGCCTCTGCTTGCCACGGACAAGACTCTACTTGTCATGATTATTTGGGTGTTGATTTGGAAAGAAGCAAAGGATCTCTTGTAGGGAAGGTAGACAAGCAACGGTTAATGTTATTGGCAGAGTAGGAGGAGTACAATAGCCTGTGACGACAGTAAACCTGTATCAGTGATTAAGATGTGAGGGGGGTGGTCCTTGAAAGTGAAGGTTTGATGCAGTGGAAACATTAAGGCTATTAAATGCTGATTATTTTATGCCTTCTTGTTAGAATGCAGATTTTGTGCTTCATGTTTTACTATTACTTGATTAACCTATGCAATAAGGATTGCAGAGGACGTTGCCGAGTGTTTAAGCTGGGAGAACTGCATAGCATTAACTTTTCAGGCTTTTTCCATCCCACACCCAGTATCAGATCTTAGAGAGTAGGCACTTTTCTTAGCATTGTGCAGCCCACTTACCTGTCTTTTCAATCTTTCCCAGTTTTACTGGCTAACGAGAAGCTCTCTGTTCCCATCACATGCAAAATCCGCGTTTTCCCAGAAATTGACAGGACAGTGAAGTATGCACAGATGCTGGAGAAAGCTGGCTGCCAGGTAAGGAGGCAGCTGCTCCCTGTACTGTTGCATTGGACCCATGTCTCTATATAAAGCATCTGATGACCAGATCATGGTGTACTGTGGAGATGAACAGGCTACACTGTTTTACAGACAGAGAAAACCGGGATGCAGAGAGATTGTATGTATTTGCAGCCATAGGCAGCGGGTCAATAGTATGATATGGAAGACATCATGACTTCAGAGTCAGTCTTGTAATCGCTGCAGAGTGGGGCATCCTTCCCTTTGGGTGAGCATCTAAGTCTAACATAGTGCTGCAGGAGGCAGTGTGAATACATGAAATCCACAGGGCTGTAGAAAAAAACAGCGTCAAAGGTGGCCACCACTAGTGAAGAAATAGGCAGCCTTCTGGGATTTAACTCCAGTTACCTTGGAAGAGATGGTCTGTAGTTAGAGCCGGTATTGACAGTATTCAGGCCTTCTGCTGAGGAGCAGTCCAGATCAATATATCACAAATTCCAAAGTGCGTCACAAGTGGGAGCCAATGCAATAGGAAATCTGTAGGTTCTTCCAAGATACGATCTTGTCATGCTGTGAAATAGCAAGCTGAAAGAAACCCAAGACTATGCCATGGTAGGTGAGCTGCTGACATCTTTCTGTGATACCAAAGTCCCTGCACTGTTGAAATGGCAGTGAGAATTCGGTGGCATCCATCAAGTGTATGGGGTGAAAGGAAATTTTTGTCAGTGGATTTGTTTCAGTGGTTCATACACATGAAAAGTAAATGTAACTTTGTGTTCTAGTTGCTGACTGTGCATGGCCGAACTAAAGAACAGAAAGGACCGCTTGCTGGCGTGGCATCTTGGGAGCACATTCAAGCTGTCAGGTAAGTGAGTGGTACCAGTCTTAGTGGATTTTTGCTCACACACTATGAAGGTAGATTTTAAGTGGAGCATGCAGTGGCATTGAGAAGCAAACAGATTTGTGTTAGAGGACTAGAATTTCTGGGTAGTCTGTAAACATTCTCATTCTTGACTTTATGCATCTGTTTTATTCACTGGTGTAGAAAAGCTGTAAGCATTCCGGTATTTGCAAATGGAAACATCCAGTGTCTCAGTGATGTGGAAGAATGTATCCGTAAGACAGGAGTACATGGTGTCATGAGCGCAGGTAAAGAAAATGAACTTTTATTCAGATGAGAATACAAACTGTTTCTTACTCTCTCAGCAGCCCCATATATATTTATTAAAAGCTTACATCAGACTGACTTGGTGAGCAGATTTGATTGAAAGCTGACTGGCCACCCTCTCTCCTCTTATACTGGCCATCCCCAGGAATCACTTAAGATTTGTAAGAATTGTTATGTTGGACTTGTAGTACCATTGAGTGGACAGCTTGAATCTGATTACTTGACAAAGGCATATGGGACTCCTGTTGTCCTTGAATATATTCATGACATCTGTTAATCAATGGGATGGTTTTTGAATGGGTCTTGATGCAGTAAGTGCATCTACTGATTAATATTCCTGCAGATGGTTCATGTTGGGTTGGGACAAGAAAGAATTGGCATAACTTCCTACAGGAAGAGCTACGATAGACATCAGAAAAAGCTTCCAACCACTCACACAGTTAAAGCAATGAATCATATTTTCTGGGAGGCTGCAGCATCTTATTTTTAGAAAATGCTGGTTAATAAAAGGCTTGTGAAATAGATAAAAGTAGATAGTAGATATTTTAGTAGATAAAAGCATAGTGAGAAGCAGTAGCTGTAAACTTAGGCTGGACAAATGTGAATACAGACATAAGGTAAGACACTCATTGTCCAGGTATTTAACCATTGTGCAACAAAAGCAGTGATTTCTCCTTATTTATTGGTTTGGGGTTTTTTACTGTCTTTGTGTCAAGATCAGATGCCTTTCTGGAAAACGTACTTTAGATATGAGCTATTTGGGTCAGTTAAGAATTGTAGAGTGAAACCTAGTATCGTGAGGTTATGCTAGAGTTGTATAGACCCTGTGTTCCTCTTTGTGAGTACATGGCTGATGTGTCTGTCACTGTCTTGTGACAGTCACAACAGAGCTGATTAAGCTCCAGAGCCTAGATTTTGTTTTCTGTTTCAATCCTGAAATGAAAGTTTGAGTATTTCTTTTCATTCCCTAGAAGGTAATCTTCATAACCCCGCTTTGTTTGAGGGCCGAAACCCATTGGTGTGGGAGATGGCTGAGGAGTATCTGGAGATAGTGCAGAAGTACCCTTGTCCATTGTCTTATGTTAGGGCTCATCTCTTCAAGCTCTGGCATCACACGTGAGTATCTCTAGAGACCTCTTAATGTTTTCAGGGCTCATCCCGTTTAGCAAGTGTCTGGCTTTTCAAGGTTTTCTTTCCTGGACCTGGCTGAAGAGAATGTGGGCTGTGGCCTTTACTCTTCACTGCGTATCTGGGAAACAGGGCATGGGGAATGAAGAAGTTACCACAAGATAAGCCTGGGCGTGAGCTCACGGCACATCAGCTACCGTGTGGTAATTGCCCATATGCACACATGCACTTTATGGCAAACATAAGTTAACTAACTCCTTGTTCACCGTGAGGCAAAGCTGTACTGCATATATTCTGGAGTAAGAGCATGGTCATGGGCAGTTACTAAGGAGCAGGTGATGCACTGTACGTTCCTGTTAGCTTTTCTCAAAATACCTTGGTTGTGAGCCAAGTATTTATTTGGAAAAGAGGAGCAGGTATGTGTATTTTTCTCTGGACTTAGAAGATAAGCTTCTACCAAAGGCAAGTGCAGCAAGAAAAATCTATAAAAAGCTTTTATAAGACATTTTTAGTTGATCTCAGTCTAGCAATAAGGAATAAATATGACTTGATGTTTGGGATTTGCCTCAGGCTTCAAGTTTACCAGCAGCTGCGTGAAGAATTAGCAAAAGTGAAGACTCTAGAGGGCATTGTAGACGTCAACAGGGAGCTGAAACTGCGATGCCAGGTACCAAGATGGGCCCTAATCCCCCGGAACAGCACTGTCCGCACTTGGTGGGACCTTACCCTGTTTGTCATGCAGTTGATGTCTGCTAGCCACTTTGCTGGAACTTTATGGCTTACCAACCTTGATATTGGTAGTTTACTACAGTAGCAGCCCTTTAAGCTTGAACAGCTTTACGTGGGATAAAGTTGATTTAGGAGTTACAAATCTTCATTTTATCTGTCTTAGTAGAGGGGGTTTGCCTGTATTTAACTGTCAGTAACTTTTAGTTTAAATTCCACTCTGTGGTTTCCTGGAATTTGAAGTATTATTTAGAGTATTTCCTGAGAAGTCCAGGAAAGCTGACTGTAACTCTGTGCTACAGGAAGAAATAGCTAATCAGAAAGAAGGAGAAAAGCCAAAAGAAGGGTTGCCCTTTTTCCACTGGATCTGTCAGCCATACATCAGGCCAGGGTGAGTTATCTATTCTACCATGGACAGGTACCCATAGGCCTTTCCCACCCATACTGTCAATACAGAGCCATCCAGTTCTGTTCTAGGAGCTGCCATTCGTTTGAAAATAAGTGAAGACTTTGCATTATTTTTATTCTGGTTTGTTTTTTTCCTGGTTATTACTTTGTTCATGGGGATGTTGTTCATTGCATGCATCTTCTCCATTAGATCTTCCTCAGATTTCTCTCTCTCAGGAAAGTAAAAACCAAGAATTCCACTACAGCTCAGAAAGGTGTGCAACAGATGTGCTACCTGACAGTACTTTATTGTTATATGTTAGACGAATGTCGCTGGTAACTGCCAGGGTAGCAAAGACGGGAACTAAATTGTATTCTATAAAGAATGCTTGCGTTGTATGGACAAGCTTTTCAGATGACGTATCCCCTTTCTGTTGTGAAAATTGGGCTGCAGAAGAGAACAAGCATGTCAAAATTAATCCTTAAGTAAATATTTAAATAAATTAAGTAAATACTTAAGTAAAACCTGGGAATAACAGTTTTTACTACCTAACTAATTTAGCTGGGCAACTTTCACTGACTTTCCAACCGATATATCTGACAGTGTGTCTGTTATCAAAAACAGCCACTGTTAACAGAAAGTTAGGTTTTTCTATTCACTTCTAAGTAATTTAGTTTCCTTGTAATTTAGCCATGATAGAAAGGTTTACAGTTTACCCAGATTTCTGTAAGCCAGAATAGTGGCCAGAGAACTCCTGCTTCTTCCCTTCAGCCAGCTTGCGATGATATTCGCTGTTTCAGGCCAAAGGAGAGATGCAAGGAGAATGGAGCCAGTGGGTCTGACAAAGGTGTGCGAGGGAAACGTGCTCTGGAAGAGGAGGAAGATGGAAATTCTGAGCTTCTGTCAAAGAATAAGCAAAAAAAGAAGTTAAGAAATCCAAATAAAACCTTTGATCCATCTTTAAAACGTAAGTTCCATTTATTGGCATAAATGCACGGAAAGTTGCTGATACCACATTTGACATAAATTGCCAGTACTTTGTATTCCTTGTTTGTGTAGTTGTAGAAACCTCTTTTTTTAAAGAGGGGGGGATTATTGGGAAATTTTGGTAGCAGGCAATGCGATTCAAATCCTGTTCGTTAGTAAAGAAAACAAGGATCAAAGTAGTAGGTCACTGATCCACTATAAGCATCTTTTTAAGAGCAAAATGCTTTACAAACTAAATTGTAGCTGTCACTAAGTATTTTAAATTGGAATTTCATATGTATTCCAAGCAGATGTTGTCCTATTTTACAGTTGACTTGAGGAAAAAGTTTTCTGTTTGGATTTCACTTAGAGACACTTAAAGAGTCTCTGGCTAGAAGAGTGCCAAGCTTTGTCTGATCCTGATTTTTTTTTTTTTTTTGTTTTACATTTACTTCTTCCATATAAAAATACCATTGCTGAAATCAGGTGTCTCTCTTTTCCAGCCAAATATGCAAAATGTGATCAATGTGGAAACCCTAAGGTAAGTCAGTGCCAGTGGCCATTAAAGCATTTCCATTAAATAGAAATTGAATGGCCATATAGTGGTGAACAGCTCAATGTCTGGATGGCGATCGGCGACGAGTGTTGTCCCTCAGGGGTCCGTACTGGTCCCAGTACTTTTTAATATCTCCATCAATGACATAGACAGTGGGATCGAGTGCACCCTCAGCAAGTTTGCAGATGACGCCAAGCTGAGTGGTGCGGTTGACAGGCCTGAGAGCCATGAAAATGGTCAGAGGGCTGGAGCCCCTCTGCTATGAGGACAGGTGGAGAGAGCTGGGGTTGTTCAGCCTGGAGACGAGAAGGCTCCCGTGAGATCTTATTGTGGCCTTTCAGTACTTAAAGGGGGCTCATTAGAAAGATGGGGACAGACTTTTTAGCAGGGCCTGTTGCAATAGCACAAGGGGTATTGGTTTTAAACCAAAAGAGGGCAGATGCAGACTATATATAAGGAAGACATTTTTTACAGTGAGGATGGTGAAACACTGGCCCAGGCTGCCCAGAGAGGTGGTAGCTGCTCCATCCCTGGAAACTTCAAGGTCAGACTGGACAGGGCTCTGAGCAACCTGATCCAGTTGAAGATGTCCCTGCTCACAGCAGGGTGGGGCTGGACTAGATGGCCTTTAAAGGTCCCTTCCAACCCAAACTATATGATTCTAAATCCTGAGGTACGTCCATGCCAGTGTCCAGTAATGCATGTGTACAAAGTCCTGCTGATATTGGCGGGGGGCGGGTCCATAGTTAGGCAAAACCTTAACTGTAACCAATCTCTGAAGTGAAGGTGCTGCACAAATTCACTAATGTATGTAGGTTCTTTGACATCATTTGCCTTCCTTTCCAAAAAGTGCAGCCCTACTGCTGCTGAGGATATTTATTGCTGAGACAGTTAGTGAGTGAGAAGAACGTCCCAAGATCTCTTATAAACAAATCTCCAAACTTCCAGTAATTACATATGTATTTTCTACTGTGAAATTAAAACCAGGCCCCCTCTTACTAGGGTTAGTGGTGGCTGGTGGGTTTTTTCTGGAAGAACTGAGAAGTTGAATAACTGGTGATGTTATTGGTGTACTACTAGACATACTTTAAACATCATTGCAGTGTAGTCTATAGGGACTGTCAGGCAGCAATCTGCAGCTCCATGGTTTGTTGGGTTTGGAACCCTGCCCTTGATCAGGCCAAGAATGAGCCATTCTCAGCTTTTTTTTTGCTAGCAGATTAACATCAACTTTCACCATTAGCAAAGTTAAACAAGCCAGCTGTTTTCCAAGTTGTGTAGAGCACATATATTTGAAACTTCATATATGGTGGAGAGACAGGGACACACCCCTGTGCTGCTCTTTTGGAACATTGCTATAGCACCTTAGACATAGCAGCCAGCTGGGGCTCAGTTTGGAGCTGCAGCCACAGAAAAAGTTTGACTTGCTGTGTGGGAAAACAGGGAGCGATCACCAGGGCTGCCCACAGTGCCATCAAAAAAAAGAGTTGCGTTTTCGTTGATTGGTTGGTTGGTTGAGGATTTTTTTGTTTGTTTTCCCTTGGGGAACACACATAGCTGTTTCCTTGACAGGGAGCTGTTACTGAGCTGAGTGAAGAGAGTGTATTTATTGCTGCTAACGTACCTGTGCAGACAGACATAGAGGCAGAATGTAAGATACAAGGAAAAATTTTGTGTTCTAGCTGAAAAAGTAGCATTACATCTGGG